CAGTCGAAAAGGCCTGATACAGAAGGAGGCAGCAATATGATGTTGCACACAATCACAACATTGAAAGAAAACAACGTACTCCCACAAACTGAAGTTTCAATGAGAAAACTGGGTCAATTAATTTTTTATTGTTTTTTTGTAAAGATTTCATGATGCATGTGCTAGCATGACAAAAATATACTCATAATATGGCATTGTATAGACTAAATTATGGCAATCATATTAAGGTTAAGAGGCTCCCTTTGCATTAATATGTCAATAACCTGTGGAGTGTAGAAACCAAGACATTATGCTTTTTAAATAATAAGAAGGACCTAACTAAGCTAAAATAGAAGCTTTAAACATTTAAAAAATAATCTCGTAGTGGCAGGAGAATGTGCTGAGCTGACTGCAATCCTGTGATCTTTACACATTCCCACAAAGACATAGAGGGCGTATTTAAATGCAGCATGAAACTGTTCTACACCATTTTTCTGCTTTTAGCTTTCCAGTACCTCAGGCGGTGATTTTCCATTGCTTTTTGTGCACTTTGTGCTAATATAGCATTTGCTATTAAAGATACAATTCTATGTAAAGCTCTGTGTTTATCACCACACAATAGTAGGTCTTCAATACTGGTGCTGTCGCATTTTTCTCAGGACTGGGAAACACCTATGTGTTGTTGATCAACATATCTTCATCTGCTCAATTAAGACAACTGTGGGCTGGAAGGTCAGAAGGTCATTTGGTCAAAATTATTTCAAAGTTATTTACTTTAACCATTTACTTGCTTAACTGATCACCAAGAAACTGATCCATATCTTTAAAAAACTGGTGATTTACAGTGACCTATAAATGCCACTGGACTGGGGGCATTCCAGGTCTAGGATAGGAGACTGCTTAGCGGTTAAAGCTTTTTCTGTTGGGATCCTCTTTTGTCATTTCTTTGAACAGCACTATTAACACACCAAAGTGACAACTGCTTAGGGCTTAGGGGAAAACCGCAATGGACCTTTACTAGGCGTGTTTTTTACATTTTTAGCCTCGATTTTCTGACTATTCTGAGAGAATTACTTTTTGTATAAATAATTTGAAATTTAACAAAGAGTTTAAAATACATACTAAAAAGTACGTCAGAATCTAAGAAAAACATAAGAACAAGAAAGAAGCAGATCTCCAGTTTTTGGACAGTTCAAAACATTGTTGTTTTCTTATGAAAAGACATGCATATGCCTAATGCTCTCATTTTCAAGACTCAAGGTTTAGATCATGTTTTGCACATCCTTCTTCACAGCAAAGTGCACTGCAAGCCAACTTGCTTTGTTTTTGTGAGTGATAGACTATGTTATGCTTGTAATTGGACCTCTCCCTCTGCCCCTCCTGGGCAGCACAAAGAGTAAACTGTCACAGAGGAATAGAACAATGCAGTAATAAAATAATCAAAAACACTGGGGCTAGAGCCCCTGACATTAACCCATGCACTGGACCTTCGGTTGTTTTAAAGTTTTAGATGTATTTCGGTAATGACTGGCTTGTATTTACTGTAGACTGTACTGAAGCATAAGAGCTGTATTTTACTCATAATTTTTTAACTGTAAGTCTTAAGTCTTGTGCCTGTCCTGGACTTTAGCTAGTGTTTAATCACTAGCTGGAAGGCTTTTTCAAAAACTTAAATTCCAGCAAAAGGAATTGTGCTTTCCTCTTACTAGGTCTTTATGACATGTCTGGAGAAGACATCAGTTTGAAAATACAAATGTTCTATCCTAATGCTGTTTAAGTGCAGAATGCATATTTGAATTACATTTTCAAGTTTTAATTATATTAAACAATTATGGCAGTACTTTCTTCAAAGGTTGCATACACAAGGATAAGCAGGGTGTTGCCACATTCATTTCATTTTCAAACTCAGCCTAGCAGTCACTCTGCGCCAAACAATATCATTACATAGATTTATGTTTACCATTTCTGGGTGCAATGAAATCATTGTATTTAATTAGTTCAGAGACATTGCGGGCATCACCTGCCAATTTTTATATGGCATCCAGCACCACCAAATTACACAGTACTGTGCCGACAGATGAGACAAGATCACAGGCCTTAAGCTAATGTCAGAGCACCACTCAAAAACATATTTTACTCTTCCACTCTTGAAAAACGTGGAGCTTATAATATTACACAAGTAAAAGAAGAATTATAGAGATGTCACGCACAACAGATCAATTTCTAGCTCTTTACATTAATTCTCCAAAAACACTGAAAACCATACCTTTTATATGTTGTGTATACAAATATGTGTAATATAGATTTTTCATCAACACCTTATGCATGGGATTGACGCAGTGTGTACATGGTGCCTAAAAGTTTTCAGTATAGTGCGGACCTGGAGACATTATTATAAAGGTCTACATATGTTAATACACAGGTTAAATATACGGTGTGGTGAAAATAAGTGTATTCCCTTATCATTTTATGATACCTTATCGGTTATCATTTTATAATTTAACATAGACATATTTGACCTTCACCTAGTTCTAACAGTAGTAAACATAACCTCATTTGTCAAACAACACAGTAATTCTACTTTGTTATTATTTATTTTTACAAAATCAGCCATCATTTAGCAGCAGTAACTTGAATTAAATGCTTCCTGTAAGAGTCGATCAGTCTCCCACATTCACCGGGAGGAATTCTGGCCCACTCTTCCTTATAAGACTTGGCCATTCCAAAATCCTGAATTTCTTCTTTCTGAGCCATTCTCTTATAAATTTGGTTGTGGGTTCTGGATCATTGTCCTGTTCTATGAGCCACTTTTGGTTTAGTTTTAGACTTCAAACAGATGGTCTCACAGTTTCCTCTGGAATACTCTGGTATACTGTAGAATTCATATCAGACGAGGTGATAGCAAAATGTCCAGGTCCCAAACCATTACCCTCCCACCACCATGCTTAATGGCTGTTATAAGGAACGTCTGGCCAAAACCAAATGCTGCCTTTCGGCAAACTCGTTTTGCTTTATGCAGAAACAATGCCACTTTTGACTCATCTGTCCAGAGCACACTCTTTCAGAAGTCTTGCTTTTTCATTCAGGTGCTGTGCAGCAGTCTTCTTACATTGCAGAGGTTTCCTTCTTGCTATCCCTCCATGAAAGATATTCTTATTCACTCTGTTTCCAATGGTGGACTCATGAGCTCTGACATTTACCACAGCATGAAATCCCTGGATGTAACCATGGGCATCAAACTATCAGATCTTGGAGAGAATTTGGTAGAATAAACTCCTGGGTGGATTGGAAGTCTTAAATTTTCAGCATTTGTAGATGATCTTTCTTATTGTGGAATGATGGACTTCATATTGTTTGGAAATGACTTTGTAACCCTTCTCAGACTGATAAGTAACAACAGTTCTTTCACAGATTTCTTTTGATCTGGGCATAATGTTACCATGACCTTTAGTGCTAAAAACTGATTACGTTTCTGATTTAATATACGGGTAAAAATCACTTTCAGTTGGTCAATTAATCATTTACACATGTTTTGGCGCACCTGATTTTACAGTAGATACCCTCTTAATTCTTAATTGTGATGGTAGAGAAATAGTAACTTACTTTTTCACACAAAGATATTGAATGTTGGGTGATTATTTTTTTTTTAATAAACAACGACAAAGTTACATTTTTGTTAAATGCATTTGATTTGATCTACTATTAAGACTTGGTGAGAACTAGGTAAAGTTTAAAAATGTCTAAATGTGTTAAACCTTAAAATCTTAATGGCGTGTACTTTTTCTCCACACTACATAAGGTAGTCTAAGTATTTACAGATGGACTCTCATGAAATTTTTTAATTTAGCCTTATGCACTTTTAGCTTTGCTTAGTTTTTTTTTACTTTGAAAACTTCTGCTGTACTCCCATAAATACTTGAAAACTTTTTTTTTCTAGTAAGAGTGAAAAGCAGACAAAGACAACCTCTGAACTCTTGCTGACTGAACATATACCACCACCATTGCACCAATTTTATCTCCTGACAGCTGTTTCTTTCGAGCAGATTCTCAGTGTCACTAACTTTGGACAACTGCAAGTGTCGACCTTATAAATGCAAGATGCCAACTGGCTGGCTCTGTGTCCACCATCTAAAATCTTTCACCATGCCTAGACACTGGGAGAAAGCTCTAGTTTTCTATAGCTGTTTACAGAGGTTCAGATTTGCACTTAACGAGAATGGGCATATTGCTCATATGAATTGTTTTGTGTATCTTTCTTAAACCTTCCTATACAGTATTTCCTCATTTATTGGTGGGAGACCAACAGAGATTTAATATATCTGACAATGAAACTTCACAATACATTAAGCTGCGCAGAAGTGATTTATTTTTCTAGAACGCCCCATCCCTTTTAAGGGAAACTTTTAGGCAAGGAGGAAAATGTTTATACTAAAGCTTACACGGAGATCAAAGTCTGTGAATCTCACTTTGCTGATGTAATAAGAAGCTTTAAATAAACATTGTGAAAAGGTCCAAATACTGAATGGAATGGCTTCACATAGAACTGCAGTGCGTCATACACACAAAACAGCCTCTGGATCTTGACACGGGAATATTAAAGGGCATCAGCAGGATCGCTCTCCACCCGTACAATGCTGTCAAGATGCATGTTCATCCACACTATTCATTTTCATGGTAAACTATCAGACTGCATATTTGGTAGATGTATTCTGTCGTCCATGTATTCTGGATTTGTTCCAGTATAAGAAATCCCTGCGCAGGAGCAAATTAATAAATAATTATCGCTTCCATAACAGTATCCTAACTCGTTTGTTAAAACTGGAAGGTGCTCTTGATCAAATCCGTTGTGATTTGTAGATGAAATGGTACCGGAATCCGTAGTCATAAAAAGTAAATGAATTAAACGGGTTTCGGGGAGCTCACAAATTATGTCGGCATCACGACCACACAAATTACAAACTTCCAACGTAATCACGCACATTGCTGCATCTGGTATATTATTCACACTGTTATTCGCCTACCTTTTTCACGTCGTGTCTGGGGTCGTTCCAGGTGGTTGTGCGGTTGTTATGATCCACGAAAAAGGGCCATCCTGTCTGCGGGTCAATTTTAATTTCCCAGCCAGGGGGCAATGGGTCGTTAGTAGACATCTGTACCATTGGTGACTGTGTCTTCATGCTATAAAAGCTTCTTGGTTGCGTGAATTGTGCCATTATGCCCTGCCGAGTACCTCCTTTATAGAATCTGTTGGGTGACGTGTTGAAAGGGGTTGGAAATGTCTGGAATTAGCCCGGTCAACTCTGAGACCAAAGTTCTGAGGATAGCTCCGGGAGCCTTGGAAAGTTCTGGCTATATCGAGAGAGAATGTGCGCCACACAAACAGCTCCTCCTTGAGTCATCATCAGCCAGTTGCTGTCAGCACAGGGTTGCAGCGCTCATGCTGTGCAAATGTGCACATGTGCACTTCATGTTCCAGTGAAGCTCTGTGGTGCCCTGAAGCCCTGGACATTCTTGTCTACAATCCCAGGCGCCGTAACTTGCATTCCAGATAACAGTATATCCTGGACTAACAGACATGCTCCTTTGACACCTGCATCTCCCCGTGCTGATCTCGCGGGTATAAAAGCGAGATGCTGCTTTTTTAGTAAGAATTCAAGACAGTCTGTTTCCAAGCAACACCAAACTTGCCTCTTCTGTGGCAGAGCCTTGCAGTTGACTTCTAAGTGTCGTGAATAGGAGGAGGAGAAAAATACGTACTGTTAACGTCCTTCAAAGATGATATGTGAGGCATTCCTTAGATGTTAAATTACAAATTGAGCGTGTAAATTTACACCCACCTTAGCTACCCCATTAACCCTTTCCACATGAACGTACCCTCTTCAAATATAATCATAAACGCAATTAAGGTAGTGTTAAACGCAAAATGTTAAATTATATTCGAATATCTCATCAATTCTAAATCAATAAGATTGATGTGTGTAAACCTATAGTTTATAAAGAGCATAATTCTGTCAAACGCACGGAAATGTTAAATTACTTCACTTGTTTTAAATAGCTGAAAATACTAGATTATTATGTGTTTTTGAGTTTAGCTTCTAGTTTTACGATAAGCGCCTGTGACACACCCAGTTACACTTGGTGTGTATTGTTTTAAAAAGACAAAGCCGAATAAAAAAAACACCATGCAGAGTGGAGAAGTAACCACCTAACATTTTGAGTGACAAACTTCATACTGACGAAACGAGTATTTGTGTTTTTTTTGCTCTGAGTTCTGTACATGGTTGCTATCGACTTGAATAAATATTTTCTAAACACTGAACCCTTATATTTAAATAGAAATGTATTAATACTACTATTAAAATACTAATGTAGATGTCCTCATATCACTTTTCAGTCGAAGATTAAATCTAATCAACGACCAGTACAGATAAAACAAGGAAAACTCATATACCTAAAGTTAAACGCCTGAAAGAGCCTTGAAGAGGAAATAGTTTCTTATAGAGGACATTAAATACCCTTATATATATAAAGATGATCTGTGAAGCTTGTACGTTAATTGTGAATTTGCCTTTTTTAATATTTCAGCGGCTAAATGTCCCAAATGTTTCCAGACAGAAAGGTGATGTCCCATGTGTGGAATGAAGATCAGCCATTTGAATTAATTGCATAAAATACAAAAAAACACGAAATTCCAAAACATTCTGGCTTTAAAGTCAGGTCCTATCAATTTACCAAAAAAAAAATAGGCTATGACAAACTGTACAATTAAAAGAGGAAACGAAGTTTCAAAGGAACCCCAGCAGAGGATCAGCAACATCACCTAACAACACTGACGCAAAGGCAGAAAAATAGAACCCAGTCATGTGTCCTGACCTCGACTGTCTCTAGAATATTCACCATTGAAGATGTCTCATCTAAACAAGACCATGAGTATGGGAAGAACAATATAATGCTTGCTATAAAAATGGGTGAGGGATCTGAGGACGAGAAATCGAAGCATTAAACTCATTTATAGTTATTTCGTTACACTTAATGCAATTTATTTCATATTACCTCCTTTTACATTTCAATCTATAATCATTAGACAATTCTACTGACTCTTTATTGAATTTATGTCCCGATTTGTTGTGCCAACTCTGTTTACCTCGTTGTTTATATCCAGTTTATTTTGACATGTTCACGTGTGGTTCAAAACATCCTCTTCGGTCCTAAATACATTTAATTGTGTGTGTTGTCTACATAAGAGATACGATGCAAACAATTGCTCTTAAACGCTCAAGCTGAGCAAAGGTTTTCCTGACCCACTGTGCTTAACTTAAAACATATACGTTGAGGTTGGTTATTCTCATTATTGTTTTTCAATTTCAAACATGTAGTTTTCCATCCTAAGATTGAGTATTTCTGGAATTATATATTGTTGGTAGTCGTCACTAATCAGACAATTATGAGTGCTTCGGCTCAACAAGACCAGGTGTAACAAATACATAAAAGTGCCAGTCCTCTCTACACATTCGGATACCCAGTAATTTATATACAATCAATTATCTTAATTTAGTCTATTAGATATTTCAAATAATATTTTTGTTCTGTAGTTGTGGCTGAGTAAGGCTAGTGCCTTTTCATTTTTCGATAATCATTATAATTCCTATTTTATTTACAACATTTATTATTAGTAGTAGTATTCCTATTTAACATTTACAGTACCAGAAACATGCGAGCTCACAGTTTGCTACGTTCACGTCACAAATAATTAACTAGGCTGTAAATAGGGCGACCTTACGTTACTTGGAAGTTCAAAGTAGAACATTCTAAAATGATTAAAAATGAGTGAGATCACCACAACTGCATCAAGTAAGACCGCTTTGTGTCTTTGAGGAGAGACAGTAACGGGAAACGAAGAAAAGATATGTTCACAATATAATTATAAAATCAATGGTGCATTGAATTACTCAATTTCCCAACATTCTGCTTATTGGCATAGTCACGACTCCTCAGAGGTAAACACAATCATTAGATGCTGACTTGCAATGTTCTGATATTCAGCCAGTCTTTAAACTTATTTACTTAACAGTCTGCCACATCTTATAATTACCCCCATAAACTTTCACCTTGGACAAGAGGTATGCAAACAAAGCTTTTGGGGTAGTGTAGTTTAAATATCCGCCTATCCGTGATCATGGCCAATAAATGTGTAATCATTCAAACTACAACTCCCGACATGCCACGTGGTTCGGTCACGCATAAAAATAACAAGGTGAGTTAGACTTGTTCCCATTTTTATTCGTTGTATTGCAAGAAACTGTTGATTATTGTGAGAATAAAACCACAGGTATCGGTCCAGATTGATTCAGAAGGAAAGAGGACACAAAACATAATTTTGTTATTTGTCATACATTTCCGTTTCTAGTTTGTGGCCTGGAGAATGGCAGTGCGCATGTGCAGCTCTGGGTTTCCTGACTCGCCGGTTTCCGCCATTTTCTGCCTTTTTCCAGAGAAAGAAATTCATCAGACTCAGGTTATTCAGCACCAAAATACAAAGGGGTTGCACAGTGATAACACGTCGATATACCCGAACATGGAGGACGACAGCCATCCCAAAACGCTGTGAGTAAGAGACACGGAGTCTCGCTCCATCTAGCAACTTTTTTTTACTTCTCGATTAGCTTGGCCACCCCCGCACTTAAAGAGACAACTGTGTGAAGATGGGAAAGCTATGATACATCTGGAGTATTCACACACACAGGGCCGTGTCATGATAAGACATTGCTAAGAGAATGTGCAGATTATGAAAACAGGCCGTTACGGCTCACAAGTTTGCCGTTTCGTTAGATGAGCAGTCCCCGCAGTTGATACAGTCCACGCAGTTCGTCACAGTAAAGCAAAAAGAAAAAAGCGAGCCTTTCACGGTAGTTACCTAAGACCCAGCACAGGGACATTATTGTGACTTAGATCGGTGATTGTTAAAGGTCTTGTTTCTCCGAGCCGCGTTTCGTATTTCTTTCCCTACATAAACAAGTTGATATCTTGCCGTTGCCCTGTTTCGGTGTTTGCTGGGAAAGTGACATCGTGATCTTCAGGTAGATCGAGTCTTTGTTCCACAAACAGAAATAACGTGCGAACAATGTGCTGTTCCCGATTATCGTTCGGTTTGAAGACGTGTAGTCCAGCACTGAAACGGCAACGACGGCCTTGTGTTGTGACGAAGGTTTTTTTTTTGTGGAAGAGCAAAATCGTATTTTACGTGTTCGCCATTATTGAAGGTGGAAAATGGAAGGATAAAATAAGAGGGTATAAACATCTTTGTTCTGAATTTCCACAATGCTGTTGCTCAAAAATGTGTTGTAAGGAAAACTCAGATAAATTTAACTAATAGGTTCGTCAGGGTACAGTTTATTGCCCAACTTTTAATCAGTCGCCATTCCCGTTTACGTTGTTGGTGCATAACTTTTATTACCGATAACCTACTTAAAATTAGGCTTCTTCTTTCTTAAGCAACATGAATACCGACCCCGGTTCGACCGGATGATTCGGATGTTGCGGAAGTATGCCGGTCCGTTTGCCCAACAATACGTTATCGCCATTGGGAGTTGCGTTTTAAGATGTAACCTGCCTAATTAAGACGATACAGGCACATCAATCAACAAATTAATGCAGTTTTTAGCAAAGTCTGAAGGGGCCATAAAACGAGTGTGCTGTCAGTCCAGTTAAATGACCGATAAGTCTGTTTGGTTTTGACCCTATGACTAAATAAAAATAGTCTCCAGCGACGCGACATATAGGCCTACATAAGCTGCTTTGCTGAAACAGTTTGCTGGTCCAGCGCCGTTATCTCTCGATTTTATTACAACTTTCATAAACAGTTTCCTTTCGCATCGGACTTCCAAGAAATGGAATGACGTAATAATAGTTAACCAAGTGAAATGATTTTTAAAACCTTTCCAACACACTTCAAACATTGACTTTAAGTGTCCAACACATTTAACTACAATAGTGTTCCCCTACTGAAATTATTTTCTCTTTTTATCGTTTCTTTTGGTGTTAAATATTAGCTAAAGATGGTGCCTTTGTTTTAAAATGATCACACTATTCTGCATTATTCTTTCAAACAAGAATTCCAAGCCGTCTTATCTCCCTTTTTTTCTATTTTTCAGCTATGTGGGAAACTTGTCCAGAGATGTCACAGAAGTTTTAATTCTTCAGTTATTCAGTCAAATCGGGCCATGCAAGAGCTGTAAAATGATTACAGAGGTAAGAAGTCGTTGTTAAAGCGTTAATTTTAGTCACTGTGCAAGATGTTGCTTTCCCCCTGCTACTGTACTCCCATATTTATTAATTATGATTTTTCATGATGAGACACAGATGAAGAGGGTAGGAGCAATTGTATTGCAAATCTATGTAAATGGAAATTGTGTGTACTCAGTTTTGTCAAAGAATGTATGTCTTGAAATTGTATGATCTTGAGTTTTGCCTGTATTGGTAAATGCTACCCTGTATTGTCCTTCACAAACATAAGGATGTTTGTAGTTTACTGTGCTTTAATTGAGCTTCCCACAACCTGACATTCCCCCACCCAGGTTTAAATAGATTTCTGCCTGAAGTTTGTCTGTTCTACATCAATGAAAAGGTACTGTCCTTATAAGCATAAAGAATAGTAACTTGGTTACATGTTGCAGAATCTGAAGTTAAGATTTTGAGTTCCTTAAGGTTGCTATTGTTGATCACGGTTTTAAAGTTGGTAAAAGCTTGTAACACATGAGCACAACAGTGCGGTCATCTACAATTGAAGTAGAACACAGTACTCAAAAGAAGAAACTGGTCTTGGCTGAAATTGTGGTTAAATAAGGGCTCTTTGCACAAATTGGAAACTGTGGCTAAGTTAACTTTTTTAAATACTCTTCAGACCTCTTATTTTGACTATACATTAGTTAACATCAGTGTTATTGTTCTCCTTTTCCCTTTGCAGTAATCGGTCCATTTAAAATAAAACTGTCAGTGTACTTAACCTACTGTGATCAGAAGTGTTGCATTATATAACAGCAGAGAGTAAGAGCTCACTCCCAACTTGGAAGAGTGTAGAGTTGTAATGGCAAACTCAGATGAGCAAGGATCCCAACATTGAAGTGTTATATATATATATGGAACAAGTGAGAATGTAGCTTGGCTATAAATTTATAAATAACTTGGAAAATTCTGAATCAATAGTCGAGTTAATGTTTAAGAATGTTGTGCACATTTAAAAGTGAAACAAATGATCCTGAATATATTTTACTGGGGGATGAGGATATTCAAACTTCAGTGTTTGCACATTTGGAAATGTAAGGCTTTAGCCTTTGCAAAAGAAAATCTGAAATATAGTTGCAAAAACATAAGAGAGAGTTAAACAAAAATCACGGTGAATTCCTGTTTGCAAGGCCTGCTTTGCTTGGTGTTCAAGTAAGTTTAGAAGTATGGTGAAGGGTGAGTTATATAAAGCATTTGTATATGAAATTAAAATACTTCTGATAAACAGATTATTCTCAAGTTGGCTACAGTATGTCAAAATTTGATCAATGCAGTTGCCAGTAAATTGTACAGTATTTTACAGCTTTAATGGCGGTGGTGCTTCAGTTCTTTATGGACAGGCTTTCAAAATGAAATCATCCTTCTGAAATTTTAGGGAGAGGGTTTGAGCTTTTGAGTTACAATGTTGTATTTTCATTGTGGTATCAAATAACCCACATTTTGTATAACTTTATGTAAAAGGTTTTCTGTGATCTCTGCATTCTGAAGGATATGTGCTTTGATTAAAAAAATAATTCTTAGGCATCTTTCAGTATCTTAGGATTTTCATGCTAATAAGTTTACTGACTTGTACATAAGTGTGCATCTTATGAAGAATGCTCTCAATAGAAAGCAAAACTGGTTTAGACTGATATTATATCATATTAAGCAATAAGGGCTATTAATAAAAATTGTGAAATGACAGTGTATATATGACATGAATGGCACTGTTTAACGTGCACTAGGGATGACCATTGGTAGCATTGGCAAACTACTTTGTTGGCATGAAACTGAGATTTATCTGAGCTGTGTACAAATGTATAAATAGTGAACGTAACAGCACAGTAGGGGAGTAAGATTGCAACCAATTGAGATTCAACTTTCACTCAGAGAATGTGTTGGTCTGTAGTTGTAAATGGAGAGAATATAAAAACTTTAAGAAATGAGAAGTAACAAGGGTCACAACGGAGATGGGATAGTTCGCAAACTTCTGTAGTTGTTGGCATTACATGCAAGTAGTGTATTTACAGAATGGTCCTTTTATGATTTATGTAGAGGTGACTGTTCTGTGGTTCTCCATAAAGCTGCCCATGTATGTAAAAGATGGCTCCCACAACACTAAGCAGCCCTTACCTCCCCAGAAAAATCTGCTTTTACTGAAGCTTCCGCTTCATGCACGACACAGGATAGTAAACTTTCAGTGAAACAATCCAGCAGCATGAAGTTTTAGACTTTAGAGACCCTTAGTACTACATCAAATCATTTGCTCTCTCCATGTCTCCTTCCAGATCAATGTGAAGCTGTTGATCGCCAATTATTGAGACAAAATAGTTGCATACATTGTGTTAGGCTACGAAAAGATAAACCAATGTGAAGTATTTGAGGATGTCTCCTTATCGTTGTCTGGCTAGCTGCAAAATCTGTTAGTATTCCCTTTTTTTAGTTTATATATATTGTTTGAGAAAATATGTATCTCCTTTTTTGGTGGCTTCAGCTGTAGTTATATTTGACAACTCACTTTGACCTGGTTTTCCCATGTCAGTTGAAGTGCAGATTCTGTGTCTTGCTAATTTGCTGTAGCTGTACATTCCCCTAAAGCTCAGCTTATACCCAGAATTAACGCTAGTTTTCCAGGTGAGTGCCAAAACATTTAATGAATGTTACTGGGCAAAGTCTGTTTGCCCACACGTGCACCTGAAGGTGGTGTGTTAACTGTGGTTTGTGACTGCGTCAGGTTTTGTGAGGACACAGGACAAGTGTTTTAAAAATTGGCATTTTGATGTGACTCTGAATTATTATGTAAATATCAGAGTGTGTTCAGTGTATTTCCATAGTACAAACTGATACTGCTCTGAATTCCCAAAGTTTCTTGTGAACATTTCTCACTGAATCTTTTGTGTTCTCTAGAGGAGTCATAGCTTCCATCCATATTTGTCTTGTTATAGAGTTCCCTATAACTGTTTTGAAGTATAGAGTACATTGCAATAACCCCTTTAGTTTTAAGTCTGAATTTTAGGCCATTACATTAAAATATGCTCTAGCATACAGTTTACAGTGTAATTTCATGTGATTTGTATTTATCTACTGTGAGTTGGTATGCTAACAATTTGGACTATGGAGGAATTTACTTCCCTCCAGTTCTGGTATGGATTATTTAATAAACTTACAGTGGTTGGTTGGACAGATGGAAATTGATCACTATTTAGACCTTTTTCTGTTATGCATAGGAACTATGATCAAAATCTTGGCAGGAAATTAAAATGTTTTTGTTTTTAGCTAAAATTGAAAATATTTTTTTGAGGAGATGCTTTTTCTAGTTGTTCAATGCTTCCTCCAGACTGCAGGATTCTTACTATGCTGAATTGTGCTTTTCTGTTTTGATAATTATTTTAATAAGTGGTTTAATTGCATTTCTTAATATTCAAATTATTTAAAACTTCGCCCTCTCCACAATGTAATGTAAAATGGCTTAGATACATCAAAGGCCAAGAAAAAATACAACTATTCTTTAAATATGAAGCATTTGTATTTGGGAAATGTATCCTGTTTCAAAAATGTTTTTTTCAAATAACATGTGTATAAGATGTGTATAAATGTTAAATAGCTTCAGAAAATTAACTTTTTCCTACAGAATTATTGCTCATTCAAATAGCAATAACTTTTAATTCTGATAAGTTATTGTAAGGTTATGTCATAGTTCAAAAATTGAAACCCCTTCATTTTCAGCTGATTGGACTCCTTCAAAACCCGTATTTTTCTTTAATAGAATTAAACTGAGCTCGACGGTGTAACTTCCTGTGAGGTGTTTGCAAGAGTACTGCAGTTTATTAATGTTCCATGTTGAGCTCAATGTTGTGCAATAATATCCTCTCCTGGCTTTTTTTCTCAGCAACCCGATAGCAGAAGGGTCAACTCTTCTGTTGGATTTTCTGTTTTGCAGCATACAAGCAATGATCCCTATTGCTTTGTGGAGTTCTATGAACATAGGGATGCTGCTGCTGCATTGGCAGCAATGAATGGAAGGAAGATAATGGGAAAGGTAAGTATTTTCTGGCTTTTCATAAATTTGTCACTTATTATCAAAAGTAGAGTAAGGTAATAAACCCCGGGCTTTGAACAGGATCAAAAGCACTTTGCTATCAGTTTTATCTGTTATCTGGGGTAATACAGACAATAAACTATGTGCACCATAGCTACCAAATTATGAATTTAAGCATAGAGTTTACAGTGTGTGCCTGCCAAAAAGAACACACAGATCTGAAGTTTTCTTGTTTCACTTCTTGAAATTTTCTTTACAATAAGATGTTCTTACAATTTATACTCAATCTTTTGAGTGTTTACTTCCATCTCTATATGTCTCATTTTTGTTGTAGAGAACCTTGAAATTATATCATAAAAGGTGCTAAATGTTAAGAAACATCTAATTATTATTATTATTAACAAAATACCACCTGGCAAAACGTTTAATTTATTTTCACTAGCTTTCATTTTTAAAATCATAAATATACATGCAAAATTTGTCTGACAGTTAATCTCTGGACAGAAAAATCTCTGCAGTTTATTTTAGCTTGTGGACAAATGCAGACATTACAGAATGCTTTCTAGCAGAGGTTTGTGTGTAACCAATATGTGGTTTACATCAATTGAGAGAGATTTCAATATTGAAATGCAAAGAGGTGAGTAAAAATGGTTAAAAAAAACCTCTCATGAACAGAGGTGCCTCAGTAAATGTAAGCCCCTTCAGGAATTTTATCATTTAGATTTGCTAATTTTACATTTAATTTCTAATTGAATGTGACATTAAATAGTCTCAAATGTATGTGGTAGACCAGCTTTATCTGATCTAGAATTTTCACTTCTGACTTTTTTTTCTTTCTAGTTTAAAAGGATGCTTCCCTTAGTTATCGTAATTTCTATCATTGTGATTCCATAAGCCCATTACAGAGATCAGTACAGGAAATGTATTTTTAAACTGTCAGTTAAGTAATTGATGAACCTTATCTGAATTTGTTCCAAGTTGAAAGTAACGAATCCAGAGAATTCATGGATTGTTTCCAATTTGCATGTTAGGAACATTCATATTGTTGGTCAGACACTGTGAATACCTTGGTGTTGTAGCTGTAGGCTGTTAAATTGGGCAAGCGAAATCATTTTCCATCAGTGCAGAGAATTTTTATGGGAGAATGAAAATGCAGATGTGGTTTCAGCTCCCTCTTTTTCCCAGCATGCTATGCTAAAAATTGCACTTGTTAAGTCTGTAAAATTCAGACACTCCAGCATCATTTAACTGGATATTGTTTTACATGTATTGGATATACTCTACATTCCTACATACCATTGAATCATTTATTGATTTAAAAATGAATTGTAAAAGGAATTTACTGCTATTTAAACCTAGAATGAATAGAACACTTTGGCTCCTGTCAACATGTTTTTGCTGGTAGATTCAGTTTAAAGAAGATTTACAGAGGTCATGAACATGGTGACTTGTTTTTTAGATAGTAAGGTACCTAATGTACTTCTGGTGTACTGATGTAAAGCTGAATGAAATTCTTTATTTTGCTTAAATAGTAGAACCTTCCATTTACTTAAACACTGCTATAAAATACTAGTTGCATTTAGGTTTTTGTTAAATTTTTGTTCTGACTGCATTTAATGTTTTAAATGCTATTTAAAAACATTCGTTCTTAATGTTCATATACATATATAGAAAAATGCTGAAATAAGCCAATTGGTTTTCTACGTATAAATTCATACAGTACATTTTTATATGTAATTTCTGAAGTCTTTTTCAAATTTTCATGTTTAATCCTTGGCAATACTGAGACCTCCTAAAACATTAAAATAACACCTTTCATGTAGTTGAGCTTCTCAAATCCTTGAATTTTATTTCTTTCTTTAAAAGGTCCATTTCCAGTTGTATTCCTGTTCTTTACGTGAAATATCTTCAGAATCATAAAAGTGCAGTGAACAAACGAGTACCTTTCATAACTAAGCAGTTGATTTCAGACAGTTTTTGTCCCTAACAATTACAATGACCATCACAGTTTTCAAAAGTTTGCTTGGTTTCCTATGGACCCAGAAATCCCGTAGAGTGTTTAATTACAATTAATGTAACACGGCAATGAGCCGATTGGCTCATCTGCATCTCATTCAGTACATCGCTAGTTTAGTAGAAAAAAATGTAAATTTACCTTAATTAACTTTTTTCTTTGTCAATGGAAATTTCCATGATGACTATAAAATGCTTTAAGATGTGGCATTCATTTTGTTTCATTTCTAGGAGGTTAAGGTAAATTGGGCCACAACTCCAAGCAGCCAGAAGAAAGACACATCCAGTAAGTTTCTTGCTTTGCCTGTGTACACAGAAACAACAAATTAAAAGGAGTGACTGAAATTTCTTATTCCGTGCTTTAGACATAACTTGAAGAAATAACATTTTGTAAGTTTGCTGGTTCAGGAAGTTCTGTAAATTCAATTCTTGTAGCACACTGGCTGAATGTTGCTGTCGGACTCCTAAGGAGTGACTTCACAAAACATGGAGTCTGTGTTATGAAACCTGGGTGAAAAACTGCTTAGCAAGATAACTGTTGTGGTAATACTCTTGTCTTTATAGCTGACGTTTTGGTTTTGAAAGTAGTGATTTAAATACTTGAACACTCTAACCATGTCACAAGCTGGAATTATGAATATGAACATATGATAGCCCTGTCCTCAATCAGTTTTGCTGCTATTTGCCATATATGGTTTTAAAGAATTAGAAATTGATAACTTACACAGCTGCTGTTACATCTACATGTAATACAAAATAGCTCCTAGCTTCTGAAAATGTACCTCATTGGTTGTCAACGTATGGGGAAACTGTCTCCATGTGATCACTTTAGCCTGCTTCCTGTTTTGTGTTGACAGCCTCAAATGTGGGCATGGTCTTTCTAGGCCAATAAACAGAAGTTCGGTTTTATTCCTTTTTCTTCACCCAAATAGTTAAATGAAAATCTACAGTGCTGCTTAAAAGTTGTGAATTCCTGTTTTTTAAATTTCATATTTACTACAAAATCCTAGTTTAATCAAAACTAGTCCTTTACTAAAAATGTATATCCAGAAGTTGTGTATTGTTCAGAGGAGTTGATGCATGCAGTAGAAAAAGAAATGGGTAAATAAGAATTAGTGCATCTGCAAAAGTAAGACTCCTTACCTCAATTAACCAGGTAAGTATAATTGGGTACCCAGTTAACCAATCAAAGAGCCAATCAACAGGATAAAGTTTGGGAGGTCCAACACTATATAAGGAAACCCAGTTAGTTTGATCTTACACATACAGTTTGGTGTAATACACCCTGCCACAATCTAAAGAGACCACAGATGACATCGGGAAGAGTGTTGTAAATGCTTATCAATGGTAGAGGGTTATGAAACCATAGCACAATTTGGAATTAATTGGTCTGCTTTAAGAAAGTCTACAAGTTGAGAAAATGTATAACCAGTGTGATTCTGCCTAGATGTGGATAAAATTATCCCAAAAAGCAATAAGAAAACATGTATACAGGATGTTCAAAAGAACCCCAGGTCAGCATCCAGGGATCAAAAAGGAACACTGCTGTGCAAGTTTGCCAAAGACCATATGGAATATCCTGTAGATTTTTTTTTTTTAATGTTCACTGGACAGATGTATCTAACATTGATCTTCTAAGTCCCAACACAAAATGCCACATTTGGCAAAAACCTAACACTGCCTACCACCAAAATAACATTGCCACGGTCAAGCATGGTTTGGGGCTGCTTTTCTGTCCATGAAGGTTCATGGGTCACTTGCCATCATTGAGGGAACTATGAGTTCGGAATCATACCAAAATGTTCTGGAGGAGGACATTGGGCCCTCTGTCCACAGGTTGATGTTGGCGGGGGGAGCGCCCTACAACATGATATGACCCTTAACATTCCAGCAAATCTATCAAAGAAAGGAAGATGAAGAAATGTTTTGGGATAGCTAGGTTCAGATCTCAACCTGATAGAAATGTTGTGGCAAGACCTGAAGCAAGCTGTTCCAGTAAGTCAGCCAGCAAACCTGGAGCAGTTGAAGCAGTTTTATAAGGAAGAATGGGCTAAAATTCTCAAAGCACTAGTGAGAGACTGATCAGTAACAATGGGGAAACATCTGGTTGGTGTCATAGCTGCTAAAGAATGCGACACTGCTTATTGAATTATAAAGTTCACTTACTTTTGCACTGGGGTTATTGAGTTTGTTAAACATGTTTTATTAAATCAGTAATGACTATTGTATGTGTCCCATTATTCAGGTTATCTCCATTAAATATGACATTTTTTTTAAGATTTAAAATGTGAAAAATGAAATTAATGTACTTTCAAGCAGCACTGTGCATCTTTCTTTTATGACTGAAGTGTAAGAATTCCTCCTCATCTGAAAATGCATGTCATGGAAGTACATGCAAGGCTCATTCTTTAAAAAAAAATATATTCAGTAGTTTCACAATTCCTTATCTAAATGACTGACCTGATTGACATTAGCTGGTCTCTACTTATGGTGTCCCTTCTTGGGGGGGTTTCTGACTGTTACGTCAATGTCTATGGTGGAAATGCCTGTGTTATTACAGATGCAACTCTGATCAACGTTTCTATATTCAATATAGTGAGAGAGAGACTAGTTAATCATTGAGTGAATTAGTCTAAAACCGCATTAGTCTTTATAATCTCTTTCCCAGGAATATGGAATCTAACTGCTTACTTTGTAAGATTATCAGTTTAGAACTAAAGAATGATATTTTGTTAAGGGATTCTTCTAGTTTTAATTCAATAACTTGATAATGTTGCTGAATGATACCTGCAATAGTGCATATACCTTTACTGGAACCATATTCATAATACTTTACCACCTTGTTAAATGTTTGGTCTTGAACTAATAAAGTAGAAAAGGCTGACTTATCACTTTACTGTTAGCTTAGGATCCTGCTCTAGGCTGTTTGTGAAATTGTTCATATTCAGTATAAATGAACATTTCAATTATGCACGTTTTTAGTTAGATTCTCTTCTAGTGCTTTCCTGTAGTGTTTTAGAACTCAAATTGGCAACAGCATAGTATGGCTATGATGTCAAATTAGATGGTTTTACATTTAAACTTTTAACACATAAGCATTTTTCAAAAAAGAGAATCTATAAAGACTGATGCAGTGGTATTTTGGGGAAAAATAAATCTATCTGTTGGATACTTTATAGTTCCAAGATACATTTTGTGGGTTTTTTCCTGAAGTGGCGCAAATATTGATCAAATGACATGCAGATGGGAACAGGAGTTGGTGTTGGGGAACAGGCTGTTAGATGTGGACTCATTGGAATTTTCTCTTAAAGAGATTGGTTCATAAAAGCTGAGGCAATTTTACATCATGGATGGTCTTTTATGCCTCCTGTTCTCAGTGATATATTCGTTTTTTTTATACTAAAAGTATTTATTTGTTTCAGATCACTTCCATGTGTTTGTTGGAGACTTGAGTCCTGAGATAACAACAGAAGACATCAAAGCTGCTTTTGCTCCTTTTGGTAAAATCTCGTAAGTGTGAAGTTTAAAACGTCAATTCCATCACAGACTGTTGCAGTATTTAATGGCAATTTTAAATGTTATGATTTGCTGTATATCTTGAAATGTATTTGATCGTGTGCTTTATGGAAAAGACTTGATTTGTCTTTTTACATTATCATATTTGCACATTCTTAATCATTTTCTTTATAACGAATCAAATCCTATAAACATTTGTCATGTTAACCTGTAGTAAACTACTTCTAGCTAATCAGGATTTAACATTTGATTTGGTGCAGCTGTTTGGATGGAGTCATTGGTTGGATTTATTGGTTGAATAAGGACTAGTAAATGTATTTTAAATAACTTGTTCTCTGAAAGTTTTAATGAAAGACCTACCGTAAAGAAGATCATCAACTTACAAAAAGTTTGTTTCACTCATTGTGATTTTTTTACGGGTAAAATAATAAGTTCAGAGAGAATCAGAATTTCATTTACAGCAGTTTGCGCATAAGTATTTTAAAACGAAGAATAATTGAAGACCTCACTAACCCCACATTTACTTTTTTTGAACTTTTCATATTTTTACACAGACATTTTATTAACGGGGGAAAATATACAATCATGTTATAGAAGAAATGTAATAGCAGAAATGACTGAAGACTGAATATGAAGGCATGCTTGAAGAAAATGACAGTGTTTTGGCAATTATCCCTTCTCTGAAAATATAAAGATTTACACTATAGCTTATAAATCATTAGTAAATGCAAAGACCAAGCACTAAATCAGATTTGCTAAATGGTGCAGAGGAAAAGATAGTGACAATATTTGTCAATATGTGGAAGAGTATCTTTTAAATTCATATTTCACCTCCCATTCCCTGTTTCATTCTTCCTCTTTTCATCTTTCAATGGACCACAGTTGCTTTCTTTCTTCCCTACTTCCCTAATATTTGTTTAATTTGCATATGGTAAGTAGTTTTGAATGTGAAATAAGTAAATGTAAAGGCAACGTAAGGTGTCTCTCTTTGTGAACCTTAGAAAACTTCAGCTTTTTCGTAGTTGTGAGTCTCAATTAAAAGTAATAGCATTCTGGTTATTTTACAGAATTGCTCATAAGAATGGACAGGATCTTGAAGGCTAACTGCAAGGAACTGTGCACACTGGAAACTCAGTTGTAGATTTTTTTTTCTCATTTCTATTTATTCTTATACATTTTATATTGATCTATTTTAGTATTTTTACATTAACATTTTTTATTTAGTGCAGTTTTTTATAGTATTTCAAATTTTTTATCATTTTATTAAAATCTGTGTAAATTGTTGTTTCGTAATGGTGTGCTTAGTATTGTTGATAGTTTTATTCTCCTTTCCTAAATTTCTGAAAATGTCAATTTTTCGAAATTTACAGCTGCCCAAACTCCATATTGATGGTAAAGAATTGACCAGGAAAAATAAAGAAATCTGTTAACAGGCGATGTATGCCTTTTAATTCCTATTTTTTTTCTCTTTGATATTTCTATATATTTGTATCGGTAGGCAGAACACCATTAGCTGAATTATGTGAATGCATGGCAAACGAAGTAAAGTATTGCTTACGTATTTGCAACACTTAACTTTAGTTAGTAGGATTATAGTCGGAAGGCTATTAAATGATAAAGAAACACCTTATCTGTTTTAAGCAACAAAAAGTGTTAAAATTACATCTGTTAATGGAATAAAGCTTTCACAATAGTGTAGGTTGCATGTTTATATTTTTCAAATTCAATTTTGCTTATCAGTTGAACAAGCTGTAGGCAAATATTTTATTCTTAATAGGGTTAACTTAAAATTCTTTATTCTTTCAATACAGTGTGTGTGGTTCCTTTTTTATTTTTTACTTTTTGGTATGTGTCAAGTGGTCTGATAAGCCTGTAATCTCTTTTTACAGAGATGCTCGTGTTGTGAAGGACATGACTACGGGAAAATCAAAGGGTTATGGATTTGTCTCTTTCTATAACAAACTGGTAAGACCTTACTCCAGTGTCCTTTTTAAATGACTCATTCACTTTAAAGGTAAATGTTTGTTGTTAATAACCAGTACAGAGGGGTAACCTTACCAGTTCTTATTGCAAAAGTGAAATGTTTGGATTTAAGCAGTCTTTCAGTGGGAATCCCTGAAGTGTGAATAGTAAAAACCTGTAATTAATTGTTAAACTTGTATGAAGCATGTTAAAAAAATGCTGTGTTTTTAATTTAGATTATACAGTTACTACAATAAGAAATATGCCCGTGAAACAATCTGAAAGTATTCAGTGAAACCAGTTTCTGAGACAAATGGTAAGGTGTGTGGCTGGCATAAAGCAAGTTCTCACTCTCCTTTGTAGGGAAAAAATACCCATTAGAATTATTTTGCATAACTCAAGATTCTTTAAATGGTTTAAACCGTGAATTTCGTTCAGAATTTATTGCAGCATTTTGATGGTTTACGTAGACCTTGGTGTGTTTGATTTGTTCCCAAAATCAGATTCCAAAGTATTATTAATGTTTAAGTATGCTTTATCTGTAAATATTGTATGGACATGTATGTATCTATTAAGGGAACAATAATGGTTTAGAAAAAAGTTAGACATTTTACAACATAAAGTACTGTGCAGTTTTCTTTTATCAAAAAACATCTGTTACACAATTACCACAATTTAAAATTCAGACCTATTGATTAGCTGATTTCTATTGCTGCACGGTACATCAGCACGTACTCAGTGACATTTGTTTTCAAAATATAACGTGTGGAAGGTAGACAGCTGAAATCTTGTGTTCCAGTTCTGTGAAGGGCTGTTCTAGAATAAGCAGGAGAAGATGATTATTTGTAAGAGAGCTATCCTTTTTCTACTGTTCCAGAAACCTTAAAATGAAGAAACCAAAAATGTTAGAAGAAGATGAAAAGATCTAAACGGTTTCTTTTTCATTAAGTTTTGCAAATCACTGGATAGTATTATAACATAATTTGCAAAAGAAAATATCTAACATTTTAGTTTAAGATATTCCCATAGGCACTAACCATTCTGAGTGCAGTGTTTGTAGGTCAGCCTTGTTTGGTAACATTAGTTGTTTAAACCAATTTTGGTTATTTTAAACGCAAGAATGCTTAATTTTGATAGAGTTGTCCTATTTGCAGGATGCAGAAAATGCAATTGTCCACATGGGTGGGCAGTGGTTAGGAGGTCGACAGATTAGGACTAACTGGGCCACTCGCAAGCCACCTGCACCTAAAAACGTACAAGAAAGTAAGTATAGATGCCTTTTCTTTGAGCACAACTTGTTCTTATGTGTTTTTAACCACCTGAGAAGCTTTATGAGGTCGGTGCAGTGGCTCTGTGGCTAAGGATCTGCTCCTGTAGCTGGAAAGGTGCTGGTTCGTATCCCGCGGCCAGCAGAGAAATCCTACTCCGTTGGGCCCCTGAGCAAGGCCCTTAACCCCATCTGCCCCATGGGCACCGTATAAATGGCTGACCCCAAGCTTCTCTTCCTGTCTGTGTACAGCCTCATGGAGAGAAAGTTGGGGAATGCGAAAAGACAAATTCCTAATACAAGAAATTGTATAGGGCCAATAAAGTTATCTTTTATACTTGATTGACTCAGGAAGTCTCTTCACTAGACAGTCAGTAGACTTTTTGTATTCTTTTGGTCCTTACTAGTTACTGTCCCCACACTCATTTTTGGCCATACTCTGTATTCAGCTATTTAATGTTGCTGCAGTTATGTTAGTTCACAAGTTTCCCATCTCTGACCATGGTCTGTAAATGTGTTCACATTCGGGTACTGTCTTATCAAAGTTGCTTGTCTTGCAAACTCCCTCTTGCCAAGGACATTGAAGTTCATTAGTTCCATTTTTTTAATCACTTGATTACACATTGTCTACAGTCCAAATTCTATAATTCTCTTCCTTAGATGTATAACAATTATTAAATCTAAGCTAAAGCATATTTTTGAAGAATGTTTTGTAATGCATTTATATTTAGCCAAAAATTGAATTTTTACTCTATCTGAACTTTAATTTTACTGTCAGTCATATTAGGATAAAATTTTAAAATTGGATTTTCTTTTATTTGTACAAGTACACAACCCTCAAAGTTGGGGATTTTGTTTATGCAATTAAAATTGTGCAGTGCTGATTTTTCCACTTAGTTATACATTATATACATCTTCGGACAAAATTGTCATTTCTTTCACAAACCTAAACCTTTTCAGATTTGTTTTCAATTACAGGTAGCTCTAAGCAACTGAGATTTGAAGATGTTGTGAATCAGTCCAGCCCACAGAATTGCACTGTCTACTGTGGAGGCATCCAGTCAGGATTAACAGGTAAGTAAAGAAATATGTTACATGCATGCACATGTTAGAATTCAGTTTTATTTTCCTTTGTCTTTACACATTGTATCAATGTATATGATACTGTACACTGCTAGAATCATGCTTCTGAGTGTTTTTCAGAGTGTTGTCATGTTAAGAACTGGTAGTGCCAAGACAAAACTGATTCATGACGACAAGCCTGATACACTTATTTAGAAACTTAACACCTGTGTACGGGGATACTGGGAATACTGATCCTTCTGCATTAATCGGTTATCCTCAAATATTCTATATTTAGATCAGTTTTAGAAATGCATAGAGATGTGGCAGAGTAACTGTGAGTAACCAGAGTAATCGTAAGAGGGTAGGAGAATACACAAGTAATGGATTTGTACAATTTTCTTAAATCAAATGAGAAAATGAATGCACCATGTTTTGTTTCTATCAGGTTAGTAGGAATTAAGTCATTCACCTTCATCTCTCTGCTAGAAAAATTAATTGTTTTCAGAAATTAAAAATTTAATGTAAAGTGAATGGTTTGTAACTTTTCTCTTTTCAAGAGCAACTTATGCGCCAGACCTTTTCACCATTTGGTCAAATAATGGAAATAAGAGTTTTTCCAGAGAAAGGTTATTCATTTATCAGGTATGATGTGTTTTTCAAATTTAAAGTTTTCATGACTTTTGTGCTTTTTATTCCAGTATATTACTTGGATGCATGTGGTGTTTTTTTTATTTGTTACAATTATAAGGATGTATTCAAAACTATAATCATCAAAGAAAACATCAGTGCCAAGAATTCACAAATGTATTATCAAGAGATGCCGATCTGTTTTAAAGCAGGTACATTGACATTTTATTGAACAGACATGACATGGGCAGGTGCATCATGCTGATTATCATGTCATCAACCAGGTTGTTCAGCATGGGGTCTGTGAAAGTCTCTGGGCAGTAGTGTACATGACCATCATGTTGTATATGTTGCGGCGTTCTGTGCCATTACTTTCATAAAGCCTGGACAAGCATGTTCTGTTCACTGGTCTCAGTTCTAGATATCACAGGACTTCCCAACTCATCCTACAAACATTCAGTGGAACTCAAGTCAGGGCATTCACACCATCACATTTGCAGAAAGCTGCTGTTACAGGAACTGCATAAGGATGTGTTTCCTGCTAGAATGTCACATCAGAATGAGTGTGCAGGAGGGGAGGCAAGTGAGGTCTCAGAAGGGGATCAGTGTAGTGATGTGCAGTCAGATGCCATGAACTACTGAATGTGGACTTCTGTAGAAATTGTGCCTGCTTAGACTTTCACATGGGTTTTGATGAGATGTCGTGTGGCCTTCCAAATCATTGCTTACTATTGACAGACTGACATTGTCAGGTAAGATCACTGTCAGCTGTGCCCAATCAAGTCTCCAATGAGGCGACTTAGTGCTCATCAGCGGTTGCTTGAGTGGTGTATAGCCAGTCATGAGCAATCAATTAATCAAAGACACTTAAATTAAGTAGTATCCAAAATCAATTTATTTCCAAAAATATGTATAGTGCTTTCTTTTGATGTTCGGTACACTTTACCTGCATTCATGTTGCCTCTGTTGAGAAGGTTACTTTTAGTTTCCCGGAGCCTGTCATGTTAATACATTCAGAAGGCTCACATTTGTATTTTTTTGGCTAATTTATGGCAGTTACCCAAATTTTTCCATTTGGGCTATGTGGCTGCTTTAAAGTTTCTGAAATTTAATTTCCTTCAACTCTGGGTTCTATCTGCAGGTTTTCATCCCATGAAAGTGCAGCTCATGCCATAGTTTCAGTGAATGGGACAACTATTGAAGGCCATATTGTTAAATGCTATTGGGGCAAAGAATCACCTGACATGGCCAAAGGTTTTCAGCAGGTAAGGAACTGTATATTATATTCAAAATATGCTCTGAAAATATTTTGTTAGATTAGTGTTGGTTTCTACCAAGGTAAGGTAATTTTACTTCCATGGATAGAATAATCAATGTGGTGTGACCTTTTGACTGCATTACCATTGTGTTGATTCTAGATAATGTCGTCTTTATCTATGCTTTTGGACGTTTTTCTCAAAACATTGGGTGAAGAATTAAATTTGATACTTTCTGGCGGACTATATAAAATCACTTACATTTCAGTAATCCCTGGGACAAAATGTTTTGCAATATGCTTGTATTGAAACAAATTAATAGTTGTCTTTTTACCCTGTTGTTTTTGCAAAATATATTCTGGGATACAGTTTGAAATTATTCACAATTTTAAAAATCTCTTCAGAATAATGTATTTTATCTACAGCTGTATGTAAAGGTGTCATTGTACTGAGCCCTTAGTGAACGTGTTCTCTCTAGATGGAGTATGGTCAGTGGGGACAGTGGAGCCAGATGTATGGAAACCCCCAGCAGTATGGACAGTATATGGCTAATGGCTGGCAGGTTCCATCCTACGGAATGTATGGACAGGCGTGGAATCAGCAAGGATTTGGTGTGGAGTAAGTACTTCACTCATTTATCACATGATGAAAATTAAATAATAAGTTTCACCTGTGTGGGTAGTCAGTTTATTGTCCTGCATTCCGATCTAATACAAAGAAAGGCAAAGCTACATTCATAGAGAGAAAATTCTATGAGTATATTGAAAAATAAAAGTACAACATTAGTACAACAAAGCTGTGTAAAAGTATTCAGGCATTTGTGATTGTACATATAACAAATGACTTACCTGAAGGTTTTAATGTAGTCCTAATAGTAAGTTAGTAACAAGGACAAATGCAGAAGTTTAAAAGAATCAAGTTGAATTAAATGGGGTGGATTTTCTGTGAAAACCTTTAGAGAAGTAGCAGTTCAAAATGTAATCCCATGGGTTGTGAATCTTTGCCCTAAAAATAAGGAGCTGGAATGCCGAGTTAGTCCTTGAGTAGTGTCCAGAGCCTATTTTAAAACATACAGTAAAATGCCTAAACCATATTATATTGGTGTGTCAGGTTTTGATCAGAGAGGATTGTGGGTTCATTTTCCATCTATGCTACATCTTTGTACTTTATCCAGAAAGATAAGTAAACTGAAATATGCAAACTTTGGTATCAAGTTACATGTAAAATACAGTTGAAAGTACTGAATGTCATATCTCTTCAGAAGTGACGGCTAGCTTTATAATTATGAATAACTTTGCTCTGAGGAGCAAGATCAGATTAAGATCAAAGTTAGACTAGAAGGTAACATTTATGACAGAACATCTATTAATTTGTATGTTCTTGCTAACAATCCTAAAGAGACGATTATATATTCATGTCCGTCAGTGAACTGCTGTATATAGTAATTGTAAACTATTCAAGATTTCTTGTTACTATAGTTCAACAGTGAAAAGTCTTAACAAGCTCACTTTGACTCCTGTTTCATCTTCCTACTACATGCATTAAATGTCTGCATACTGCAGTCATTCTCAGTGATTACTTTTTAGATAAGTGAAATAAACCATAACACTTCTACTCAATACTGTTTAAATAAGTAGCCATTAATAAGAAGCAATGCATTTAATAGTGCAATAAGTCTGAAAAGGTAAAAATGATTTTCCAGTTTTATTTTAACATTAATGCTCTTATTGCTAATGGTGTTTTTTTTTAGTGAAATGTCTGAAGCAGTTGCTTAATAGTAGTTACATTTAATGACATGCCCTTGTGGTGTAGAAAATACCAGTTGGGAGCTTCAGAGCCAATTTTGCTGAGAAATGGCACAGATGGGTTTTTCAGAAAATAGTATGAGGATATGAGGTATTAAGTAATTAAAAATCACAGTAACATGATGTATGCTCAGTTTTTTTTTTCCTGTTACAAGTCCACACATTGAACCTGTGGGATTGTGATCCACATTATAGAAAGTGGTGCGGTTCATGAAGTTATCCTGCATGAATGTTCAGAAAGATTGGTTTTGGAGTTGTCCTTCACTGCTTGAATACAACAAGAAAGTTTACCTATGACAGTCTGCTGCTGTGTGATTCTGTAAAGCGTTCTGAGGCAACCTGTCACAAAGGACACCTGCAAGTAGATTAATATTTCAAAAGCAGCAAGAAAATCCTCCAGCACAGTACAGCAGTGCTGAGTATGTGTTTACTTGCTTTTATTTCAAACTGGTGTTGAAGCCTTAGAGATTTTCTTTGGCATTTGGAAGTGTCTCGGATTGCTTTATGAATGGAACATCCCACTAAGTTCTGACGTCTTGTTTACAGGGACTCCCTTCTGGCGGCAGCAGCACAGAACATATCAAGGTTAAAAACTTATTCAAATACCTTCCAAACAAAAGACAAACTTTTATCCAAAAGCCTGCTTGCAAACTTTGACAAATGTTTTTCTCTTGTAGGCAGTCTCAGTCTCCAGCTTGGATGGGAGGTTTTGGAGCCCAGCCTACCCAGGGGCAGGGAGCACCAGTAATACCAAATCAGGCAGGATTTGGAATGGCCGGTTATCAGACACAGTGAGCTGGAACTCACTCGAAATGCACTCATTCAAAACAAGAAGAAAAACCTTGCAAACTTTAATTTGAGAATGTAATGAGACAAGCATGTCTACACCTGGAAAGAAGTAGAGTATTTATTTTAAATCTAAAAAGATTTGAGACTATAGCCAAGCTTCGCTTATGGTGGAGGAAGCAAATGTCATCTAGGTTTTTTTTTAAGGGGGGTGGGAAGGGTGGGTGGGATTTTTTTTCTGTGGGGAAGTTTTCATGTGTAAGAAAGAAATAAAGTCAACAAAGAACTTTTTGAAATTCTTGTCTGAATTTTCACGCCTTGATACAGTACAACAACAAAAAACAGCAGTAAATTGGACAATCTTTAGTTTATCATTCCACGTGCACCAAAATGCAAATGTAAAGGGAGATTTTCATCACTGTAAATGGTGCTTTGCAAAAATTTTTTTCCTCACCTGTGGACCAATTCCCTTCCTTTTGTTTCAAAATCAATTCATATGTGTCCCATGTTATGATGACATTTTAGTACACAGTTGTTTACAGATTCACGAGTGTACAGAGCTGGAGTTTCTTCTGATTTTCTGTGAACAGATTAAAAACAAGTTACTGTAAATCCCCTTTGAGCCACTGGGTAAAGGATTCTAATAAAAGCTTGTACATCTTACTTTCTATTTCAAAAAATAAGAAAATGACTTTCAGTTTGCTGGACCTCTGTTGTATACTTGCAGCAATATATATAAATAAATATATTTTTAAGTAGGTTTTTACCCTAGCTACATTGACATGTATTTGTTCTTGACTATTTCTTTACCATTTTGCATTTTTTTGTGTAGACCTTTAATTGCAAAGTCTACTTTGATGCTGTCCTCTAAATCTATACATGCAGTTCCTTGCATATACATGTAATGTAATTAATGAAGGGAAAGGGTTTTGAAGGCGACACATGTAAATAAACTTTGATAACTTAGTACCAACAAGGGTTTTTAAAGCATGCTTTCCCATATCGTAGCACATTTGTTATGAGTACTACAATCCGAATGATGTACAAAGCAGTAGATAAAGTGTGCAATGTGTGACTGACATTTATTTGATTCTGTGAGATATAACTTAAAAAGAAGCCTTAATTTTTACAATTTTAATGCATCACTTTTGTTTTTGTTCAAGTATAATTCAAGCCCTCAAAGTTTTTGAGGTATGTGCATTGAGAGCCTGAGTTTTGGAGTTCTTTGGGTTTTTTTTCTGTCAAGTTTTATTTCCCACTTTAAAAACGTTTGTTTACTATGGCAATCTTCTGTGTAATCTTACATTTCTTTGTGCCATTTGCTAAGTTAAAAGCAGATTATAACTGCAAAGGATTGTGTGGAATTTTATTTAGACCAGTTTGAGGGTGGTTTGCATGTTAAAAAAATGTATAAATGCAGGGTTGCTTGAGTAATGAGTGTATATGGCAAAAATCATGAAAATGTTTGAATGATGAATAAACTAGCTATTGTCTAAATTTCATTACTTCAGTTAAATAAATTGACATTTGGAACCAAATGTGTTCTTCCCCATTTTGCTGTATATAGTTGCAATATCTATTATTGTGGATTATGTATGATAGCCTGCTTTCTTACATATTTTAGAATATGCTTTTTTTAGCTTCTTTGATTTTGTAATTAAATAAGTGGGATCATAAATGTTTCCTGATTTAACAGGAAATAAGTGCTTTTTGTAGTAGAAATACACTGCTTAAAATGGTAGGGTGTGGCTTTTATATGATGTAATGGGTCAAAATTCCATTATTTATGAGATAAGCAAATGGATAATGCAGAACTATCTTGTTTTTCTTTTTTAAAAAAAATAAGAACAATAGAAATTGTTGGTAGGCTTTTACATTACAAAGTCGTCTGATGAAAATTACTGATCAGCTTTTATATGTTCTCATATGCAAAAATCTTACTTGGCTTTCTTCCCACATAAACTAAGCACTGTGTAATAGTCAAACTCCTTTGTGTAGTAGAAGACACTTTAGCTTTGAGAACTTTTGATGCTCAACATATGTTACTCCTATACTGGTCCTGGCTCTCTTTGTGCAACAATGAATACTGGAATACTTTCTGCAAGATGATCATGACTTGAACTGATCAAGCATACGTGCAAGGTACAAGATGCATACATATTTATCCAGTAAAATCCACTGCAACTGAAGCTTTTCTTCTGACTTCAGTGTTAGTTTTACTGGCAAAGTTGTTTTTTTGTGCAGTGAAATTTGGTATTTAGGTGAACCTTCTCATTTCATTGACCATTGATTTTGTTTTTAAAAGTATATTTTAACTTTCAGTTTTTGCCACCTCCTACTTTAAGTATTCACCCTTTTCAAGCGTATGTCTGAGGAATTTCAGAAGAGATTGAAGTGTGACATAGTAATGTTCAAATCCTTTAGGACGCAATGGAATTCCACATTCTGTACTGCACGGAAAACACTTTGGAATTGTCACTTTGCACAAGCAACTATATTCAAGATAAACATTAGACAAAACAAGTGTGGGTTTACTGTGTAAGTGTAGACCTTTGTATACCTCCATTATTTGTAAAGGGAGTTTGAAAGTCCTGGGTACCTTGGGTCGCTTGCCTCTCTAGCATCTCATCACTCGCAGGTTTATTCCACTCCAGCATCTGCTAACCAAGTCCAGACTTGGAAGCTCAAGGTAGCTTCTCCTAGAACAGTACCACACCATCAACAAGTGCCAGTTATCTTCCACATGGTTGTTGGAGATGAAATATGCATGGAAGAGTCAACAATGGTTTGCTTTCTCCCTGGAGATAAGGTGGCAGACATTCAAAGAGTAGAATCTGTTCCTAACAAAGGCAGGTGTAAACAAATTCATACTGCCACAATCAATGCAATTTCATTTCAAATCAAATTCAAAGACTTTGGAGACAAATTGAAGAGTAAGACCACATCCGTGTTCTACTCAGTGGTGGATGTCTACAGCACCTCAAGGAAGATGGCTACAAATGATAATTCATGAACACATGTCTGAGAAAATGATGTCCTGAAGAAAGCTTAAGCTTTTTTTGTCCACTGCAGTCTTTTCAGTAGCAAAGGTTGTTTGTCCAGAAATGACAGATTACATCTGAGTAATAGCACCAGTAAGCTAGAGGTAATGATCAACAGAGCCAATAACATTTAAAAAGGAAAGAGGGAGAATCCCAAGGAAATTGACGAGAGATACACAGGGAGTGAATGCAAGAGCAGGCCCTAGGGAGAAATGGGACCTCTCACAGAACCAGGTAATACAATTTTTCTTTACCTTAGAAGCAATTGAAACAAAATGCAAGAGACAGAAAAGTAGGCTTGACTCATTGAGTACATTTGACAAGACGCATGACAATTAAGAGTATTATGAGCATGGCACAAGACCGAATTCAGATACTGTATACACACTACATTATAATGCAGTCTTAGAAAATGAAATCAGACATGTATGTGTAAAAAGTGATTTTTGGGGGAGCTTTCTTTTAGTGCCCATATGCTGTACGGAGATTATAAATGCAACAAATTAATATTGAGACTAAGGGTATTTGTTCCATTTTTAATACCTCTTTCTATCCACTGGGAGAAACTAATAGGAATGGTAAACATGGCTAATACCTTCTTCTTCACCTAGTCCATTTGTCAGCTCTCCTACTAGAAGAAGCCCTTGTATTATCTAGCCTTTTCAAGCAATCCAGATCAGAGTGAGGATAACTGAGATGAGAGAACCATTAAGGCACTGAATGAATCATCTTCAAAATATGGTATGCTTTTAATCTGTACAGTCAGAGTTTAAACCAAAGGATTACAATTTCAGGAAATAAGACTGAAGAAGTGAGATTGTAAGAAAATTAGATTGGAACAGAGAATAAGAGAGGATACAGGATTAATCTGGAAATGTTAGAAAATGAATGGCAAAAGGTGAGATACAGTATTTTCTGCTTGTAGCACAAAACAGATTCATCCCCCAAGTAAGCAAATAAAAGTTAGGAGAGGATGGTACAATAAATCAAATATTAGCAGTTAATAATCTTACTAATGAAAAGACTTTATAAATCATTCAGAAAAGAACAGGATACAGCTGAAGAAAGGGAACATAATAAGCTAGAAGTACAAGAAAAGCCGAAACAAAGAGGAAGCAATATTGTAATGGAGTTTAAAATTAACATTATGGATGTTTTTCAGTATTACAACGGAAAAAGACAAGTAAATGATGAATTGTCTCAGATATAAAATGGGAAACGTTTCCATAATTAAAGGGAAAGGGGATGTAATAAGTTAAAATTTTGCTAAAGTATTTTCCAAGGAAGAAGTAGACAATATGCCTCATGTTAAGCAATTACAAAACTATATTTTTGTAAAACTCAATTTTGTAATGTTACTTTTTGTACTAAAAAATACGTCGACCTCCAGGATCTGGTATTCTGCCTATAATACTTGAAGCAAGAGATTTTATTCATGGGCCATCAACTCAATTCTTCCAGCAGTCTTTCAAGACAGAGGTGGCACTCATGGAAAAGTTCTATGACATCTTCCCACAGTGTCATAGTCAGTCAGTGTTAATCACATGCCAGTGCATAATTAAAAATAATTAATAGAAAATATTATTTACAGTATTTCAGCATGCTTCATACGAAAGGCATGTTAAGAATTTTTTAAAAAACATCTTTCTTAACATCAAAGGCATTCAGGGACATAAAGAGCAAAAAAAGAGCAAACTATTCACCCCCCAAAAAACTTTTAATTCACATTGTAAAAACATGGACACTGGACCTTCACTTTGTTTATGCCTCACTAATGTTTTACGAGGGACCAACGGATGTTTGAGTTTAATCCAGTATCCATGATCTGACTTTCCTTTGCTGCTTTGCTAACTTGCCAACTTTGATGTATTCAGCTTGCAGCTTTGTTAGTAGAGTTCACATCCTGTATTCTTGGGAACAAGTAATAGGTTTATTCCATGCTGAAAAAAAACCAAAGAAACCCAACGTTTCGGCAGTGGAGCCTGAAGACAGGGCAGTAAGCAAAGGCAATGTAGCAGGAGAACAAAAGGAGAACAAAAGCTGGGAGAGAGGAGGAGCGAGAGGCGGGAGCAGGGGACAGAAAAAGAGGCCAATCAGGAGGTGTGAAGTCAGGATAGGTGTAGAGAGGTGTGAAATGAAACCTACAATGAATAGAGAGAATTTAGAAGAAAAGTAGTCTGTCGTTAAGAGAAGGGGGAAGGTGTTATCCTAGCTGTAGGATAATTTTGGTTTCTGTAGTCTTTCTGATGTATGAGTTCAGAAAACCGTCTTTGAGAATCCTGTATGCTTGTCAATTAAAACAACAGGAAGAAAAGGTAGTTATTTTTACAAAAGCAAAGCTCAACACTATGGCAAAGTAAACTCACTAAACTGAAGGTGCATGATTCCACACTGGTACCACACATTCATTGAATGGTTGACCTAGGGACACATTTATACAGATGGCAGGTATTTTTGCCCCCAATAAAGGCCACATTCAGTTAAAAAAATCTCATAGGGAGTGCCTCTATGTGGTTCAGATGTTAAAGACACCTGTTTGGAGTGAAGGTGGAGTTCCATAATGCAAACATTGCCATGTTCACTATGTGGTTGAGATTCTGCGAGCAATAAGTTATAATTAGCCACCGGTGTGGTTGGGGTCAAGTTATTCATGGTATGCTACGTTGTGGTGAACCCTGATGCACTGTATGTGTCTTTTGTCACATATAAACATAGTGTTTTTTATTGATAATAATGTGCCTGTAGGTACTGTGGATCTACAATATAGTGAATGTAAATTAGTGCAAGATTGACAGTGCTCTAGGTACATTTGTCACATACAAGCTGCATTGAGGTACTGGTGAACCTACATGAAGAGGGATATGTAGAAATACAGAAGGAGAAAAAAACTCCAATGTGTTTGACCATGAAAATGCATTGATCCTACTTTGGCATTAATAATATAATAATACAATGTTCCAGTACTTCTCAGTATGAGAAGAATTTTGACTGTTTTGACCAGAGTTTTGTCCATCCAGAACCCCTGCTCTTTCTGATCATCTGGCTTGCTCCTGGGAATTGCTTTCTTTAGATCTTACCACATATGTTCTATTGAATTGAGGTGCTCAATCAAGAACTTTCATTTTATGCTGCCTCAACTACATTATTTGGTCTCCTTGGACCTGGGAGTCAATTAGTTGGTATTTGACAAACTCACTTGTTTTCTTGTGTTGTCATGGGGTTTTGTAACAGAACAGTAGTCTTGGAGAATACTGGACATTTTATAGTATTCTAATGAACATTCCAGATTTCCGCTCTTGGATGTGAGTGTGTCACCCAAACCACATTTTTATCACATTTTAGGGTTAAACTTGCTGTCACTAGAGATGCTGACATTGACGTTTAAATAATTCAGATTTTCCCCATAATCACATGATTCTGAGTGTTTGGCTTCTGTATTCAGAGCTTCCTTTAAGTGAAATTCAGGTTGACTCCCATGACCCTCTGTTATCTGAGGT